TCACTCCCATCCACCTGCCCAGGTGAGGAGCCAGGTTTGGCCCAGGCACCTCAGCAGACACCGGCCAGGCGGGTGGTTCCCTGATACCATCAGCGCCTTTGAACCAAAGGTGGGTGAGTCACTCCCTCTCCCTGACTCCATTTGGCTCCTCCAAAGCTCAGCCTGGGAGTTTCCAGCCTTTGGAGCAAGAGGCTCATCAGAGGGAAGGGGCAGCAGTTGGCAGAGCTGGTGCCACCCCGCTGCAGGAAGAAAATTCTCTCCCCCTCAAACCTCCACTTACCATCAGCATCTTCAGATCTGCCCGTTCTGCTGGGTTTTTAATTAAGCTGAAATGAGAAGGACAAGAGAGTACAAAAATCATCGTGAGACATTCCCTGGGGGAAGGTGGTTATCAGGCTGGAGAGGTCTCCAGCTTCCCCCCAAAGCCTTCCTGCCTCCTTCCCCCTGCAAAGGCAGGAAAGGCCCTAAAAAAACTTGGCAGGAATTACTGATCCTTGTAACATCCAACCCCTGGTTTAAATGGGAGCTCTGGCAGCACCTTCAGGTGTCCCCCCCGCCCCCACACCCCACCAGAAGGGCTGGTGTGTTCCTGGTGCCTCAGGGGTGACTCAGCCCCAGGAATCTGCTCCCCCATCCCCCCTGCCGGATTTAGAAGGAGCTGGGATCCTGCTCAGCATCCCCCCCGCCCCAAATAAACTGCTTTTCTTCCAAGCCTTCCCAAGGTTGGAGTTCCCAGCACGAAGCTGCAGGTGAGGCAGGGAGGGATCACCCAGAGCATTGCTGAACATCTCGGGTGGAGCTGTCAGGGAGCACGTACAGGCCTCCACCTCCAGCCAGGAGATGAAATCCTTACCATTTATTTACAAACTCCTGGAAATCTTGCGTGAAAACTCCACTTGGCAGCTTGGGAGGTGGCTGGGGGGGAGAAGGAGAAGGGTTTCCTGCATCACCGTTGTGTTAATGAGCCAAAAAAACCCAATGTCACCTGCAATCTCAGTGCTCTACAGCTATCCTCATCCTCCTCATCCTCACTGGTTTTCCAACCAGGACATATCCCCGCCATTCCTCACCCTGCTGCTCCAGCTCACCCTGCAGCTGGGGGACCCCCTCACTGAATCCCAACCAGAGCTGGGAAATCAAAATCCAAGCACCACAACTCCCAGTCCAGCCTCACAAATCCCAGCTCTGGCACCGCCTTTGGCTGATGAAACAACCCAGAAAGGATAATTGGGGTCAACTCCCATCGCCTTGGAAGGGGAAACTGCTCCTTCCACCCTCACAAGTCTGACAGGACAAGGGGGAAGGGCCCTAAGCTGAAGGAGGGCAGGGTTGGATGGGATATTGGGGAGGAATTCTTCCCTGGGAGGGTGGTGAGGGGCTGGGATGGATTTCCCAGAGAAGCTGTGGCTGCCCCATCCATCCCTGGAAGTCTCCCAGGCCAGGTTGGAGCACCCTGGGCTAGTGGGAAGTGTCCCTGCCATCCAGGGGGTGGCACTGGATGAGCTTTGAGGTCCCTCCCAACCCAAACCAACCCGGGATCCCACGACAAACAAACATTTCCGAGCCCACCCTGACTCAGCAGAGTGGACACATCGCTCTGGCACCTCTGGAATGCCCGGCAGAGCCCGTGGCAAACAAAACACCCACCTCATTAACTATATAATCCAGCAGTTCAAAGATGGCCATGGCAGGTCGGCTGTCCATCCCGTGGCCTGCGTGGGGAAGGTGACAAAAACAGCGGTCAGGGACTGTTTTAGGGACAGCAAAGGACTTAATTTGGTGTGCAGACCATGCCTGGGGGACTCCTGCTGGGAGAGGCAGAGGCAACTCGCTGGGGAACCGAGTTGTGGTCAAAGAGAAAACCAAGCACATTCCGAAATTTCGGCTTTCTTTCACCAGGCCTGCACAGTCCAGATTTATGTCCTGGCTCGGAGCACTCGGGAGAGCACCATCTGCTGCTGCTGGTGCCTTCTGCTTCCAAGAGGATGGCTACAGCAGAGCCTCCCTTTGGTGCTCCTGTGAGAGCTCCCCAGCAAAGCTCTTCCCAAAAAAACTTCCCTCAAGCTCGCAAGGAACTTGCTGGCAGCACAGGCAACGCCTGGGGAGCACCGGGGGCTGTGGCAGTGCCCCATCTGAGGGGTCCAACATTCCAGCAGCCACCGTGTTCCCTCAGCAGCTGCAAAGGGAGGGATTTGGGATGCCACCTCCACCTCCCCACGCACGCCCCAGCTCCCCCCTTGCCTTTCCCCCGGGGAGTTCTGACGCTCCGCGGAGCATCCAGGCGGCTTTCCCTAAAAACCCACTCGTGTCCCAGCTCCCCCCAGCCCCCTCATCCCCCACGTGAGGTGTCGTTGTGCAGTCACACCACAGCCCCTACCACTGACGGGGCGTCCTGGGGGCCTGGCCCGCGGCGAGATGCTGTGGGACTCTCCCTCCGCCCCGTCCACCACGGGACGGCCAAATATTGCTTCCAGTTCCTTGGAGTCTGGCGGGGGGATTGGGTACCTTCCGATCGACAGCTCCACCAGGGACAGCCCCATGCTCCAGATGTCCGACTGCACCGAGTAGTGAGTGCCCTGCAAGCGCTCGGGCTGCAAGGGAAGGGCAGGGCAGCGTCAGTGGAGGGGGGGAAGGTAAGGGGAAGGAATTCCTGGCTGGGAGGATGGGCAGGCCCTGGCACAGGTTGCCCAGAGCAGCTGTGGCTGCCCCATCCATGGGAGTGTCCAAGGCCAGGCTGGAGCACCCTGGGCTGGTGGAAGGTGTCCCTGCCCATGGCAGGGGGTGGCACTGGGTGGGCTTTAAAGTCCCTTCCAACCCAAACCATTCCATGAGTCTGTGATATCCCGATGTTCTCTGCAGTCCAAGCCTCCACCCTTCCAGGGAGAGGACGGTCCCAAAAGGGTCATGGGCAAAGAGGATGGAAAAGCAGCATCATGTGCAGACATAAAGCACTTGTAGCACCTCATCCCCAGCTCCAGCTCAAGCAGCATCTACAGCTGCTCATATTTGGGAACATGGAACACACAGCAGGAATCTCTTTCTCTGTGTGCTGAAATCTGATTTATTAACCCAAGTTTATTTTCCCGCTCTCGTTCCTGCTCACGTCCAGGAGGGATGTGAGGAGCAGAAAAGGCTCTTTCCCATTGACAGGAAAAATTAAAAATAAACCAATCCCTGCAAGTCATCCCCACTGGCAGCTCTGAGGCAGCTTGGAGCCAGTGCCTGGGTGCAAAGGGGATCTTATTTTTAAACAGCCCCCAGTCTAACTATAACTGGGCTTGACTAACCATTCCCAAAATACGAGAGCAGCTCAGACCTGAGCACCCAAGTGCAGTGTGGGGCCTTCCCTGACCCGTTGGGAGGATGCCCCCTGAATTTTGGGCACCAGTTTTGCTGTGACAGGTGCTCTGCTGTGGAATTCTTCAAGGCCAGGTTGGACAGGGCTTGGAGCAACCTGGGACAGTGGGAGGTGTCCCTTCCCAGGGCAGGGGGTGGGACTGGATGAGCTTTGAGGTCCCTTCCAGTCCAATCCATTCTGGATTCACTCTCACTGGGCTGATTCCAGTTTGGCTTTCATTTCCCATCAGCCTGCACCAAATCCCAGCTGCGCTGAAGTGGTTTTACCCCCATCTACCAGCTTTTGGACAGAGCTCTGCACTCGGAAGGAGACTTTTTGTACCCCCCAAAAACTCACTAAAATAAAACATGGGGGGGATCTGCAGGACCTGGAACGTCTTTCCCTGCGAGTCTCTGCATTGCCACGTGCTTGGTGAGCACAGGATGGAGCTGAGGGGACACCAAGTCCTCGAGAGGATGAGGAGGTCACTTCCAAAGGCCTGGGCTCACCCCAAACCAAACCAGGGTGGAAACACCGAGCCAAGTCACTGATTCTGTTTTGTTGAACTCAAATGGCCCCCCTTCAAAAAAAAAAAAAACACCAAAAAAAAAAACCCCATCTGAAGGGAACTTACGGACATGTAGGACCGAGTTCCCACAAAGGAGTTGGCCATGGAGTCGATGAGCTGCCCGCTGACCCCGAAATCACACAGCTTGATCTCCCCTCGGGAATTCACCAGGATGTTGGAAGGCTTCACATCTGGGGAACAGCCAGAGAGAGGGCAGGGTGTGAAAGGGGGGGGGGGGTGACACCCCGAGGCTCCTGCACTGCAGGCTGCTATTTTTAGGTCCCTCCTCTCACCTCTGTGCATGATTTGGTGCTTCTCCCGCAGATACGCCAAGCCTCGTAAAACCTGGGAGGAATCCAGAGGCTGGATGAGATCAGAGCCGGGAAGGGAAGGGCCTTCCCTCCCTCAGGACACGCTGCAGGGCAAGGAAACCACCCCAGGGTGCCCACGGGTTTGGGGGGTTTGCAGTTTACCACGCCCAGCCCACCCCAAAACTTGGCTTGACCCCTCTAAAAAAGCTGCTCCCAATCCTGAGGAGGAGTCAACACCACCCAGAGGAAACCCAAAGGGCTTGGAGCAGCCCATTATTCCCGGGAAATCCCCTCTGGAGGCCTGAGGAGCCCCCACGACTCACCGCTATGCTGACTTTGCCCAGGATTTCCTCGGGAATTCTTTTGGCTTCTTTCAGCACTTGATCCAAAGAGCCGCCATCCTAAAAGGGAGGACATGGGAATGACCAAAGGGATGATTCCCAGCAGGAAAACAGAGCTGTGCAGTGGTGGATAAGCAGCACAGAGCACCCTCAGCGCTGAGCACGCTCCTTTGAGAGATCTCTGCTGATCTGAGCTCCACTTTATCACTGAAAACCATTTTTAATGCTGTTTTTGTTGGCTCTTTGCTTCCTTCCACCAGTGGAAACGCAGGGGCGACGCTGCTGGTGCTGATTTGGAGGAGAAATGCCATTATTCACCACCAGAAACAGCAGAAGGTGCTCACTGAGCTCCTCAGCGGGCTCGGGAGAGCGGCGGGTTGGCAACGTTTCCGCTTGGCCAACCCCCAAAACCTCCGCTTCCTCTTCCCCAAAAAGTCGCTCTCTCCCTCAATTCAGGAGCAGAGCGGCCTCGCTGCAGCCAGAGCAAGGAGTCAGCACAGCTGCCAGTGCCCCAGGCTGGCAGGGAGATGGAATTGGGAAGGCTGAGGAGCTCACCATGTGCTCCATGCAGATGGAGATCTCCCCGTCGCTGTAGAAGGCTCCGTAAAAGCCCACGATGTAGGGGGAGTTGCACTCGTGCAGCACCTGCAGCTCCCTGATGATCTGGTTCCTGATGGCTGGCTTGATTTCCAGGTGAATCAGCTGCCAAGGGAGAAAAGAGTTCAGGGTGTAACACCTGGGAAAAAGAAGAACAACTTGACGGGAAGCGTGTGAGCCAGTCCTGGGTGCTGGGGAGAAACACAGTCAAGGGAAACTCTTGCTTTGGAATAGAATTTATCCCATCTGCAGATTGATATTGAGGATAAAGGGGAATGACTTCAAATGACTTGGCAGAGGGGCAGGGTTAGATGGGATATTGGGAAGGGAGAGTGGAGAGGGGCTGGGATGGATTTTCCCGAGAAGCTGTGGCTGCCCCATCCTTGGAATCATTCAAGGCCAGGTTGGGACAGTGGAAAGGTCCCTGCCCGTGGCAGGGGGGTGGAATGAAACAATCTTTAAGGTGCCTTCCAACCCAGGGCAGGCTGTGATTCCATGATGGAGGCAGAGGGAGAGCCCTGTGCTCCCTCCTGCCAGCCACGACCGCGCCGGGATTGCACAGGACGCGAGCGGAAAGACGAGTCACAGGTTTGATCTCAGCAGCTCTGACTCAGCACACAGGACCATTCTCACAAGCTCTGGAGGTGTTGTAAGAAGGTGCTCTGAGATCAAGGAAACCACAGAGAAAGAAGAAAAAAGCAAGCCAAGCCCGTGAAGGTTCTGCTCACGAAGGTGCGGCCGCTTCAGGGGCTCCGCGTGGGGTCGGTTGGAAGATGCCCCTGCCCAGGGACAGGCAGGGGGGTGGAACTGGGTGAGCTTTAAGGTCCCTTCCACCCCAAACCATGCTCTGCTTCCATGATCCCAAGAGCAGGAGGGAGCAGAGACTCTGGAGCAGTCGTGCTGCTCCCGCCCAGCCTCTTCCAACAGGCACGTGAAGCATCTCCTGATTTTCTACTGCAGAAGAAGATGCTCCCCACAAATCCAAGTCTGAGAGGAACCAGTCACTGCTTGGAATGATCTTTGGGATCTGGCAAGTGGGTGGTGAGGGCTGAGGAAAGTGTTTGCCAAACCCATCCCTTCCCTCTGCCACTTCCAGCCCTCCTCAGCCACAACCTGCAAGTTTCTCCATCAAAAGCAGCTTCTCTGGGAAAAAAAATAACCTCCTGTGTCCAAACCTCAGGCATCTGTCACAGAGGCTTCTCCCAAAGGGGGACTCAGAGACAGGATCCTTGTAAAACCCACCTGGGGGTGACCATGCTCTTCACCCAGGTGAGGGTGAATCCAACCCAAACGGGGAGAATCCAACCAAAACAAGGAGAACCCAACCCAAGCAGGGAGAACCCAACCCAAATCAGCCCTCCCAGAGCCAGGGAGAGCCCAGCCCCCCGTTACCTTCCGTGCCATGACGAGCCCTGAGGGTTTGTGCTGCACTTTGGTGACCACGCCGCCGTTCCCAGCCCCCAGCTCGGAGATCCTCTCGAAGTCATCGTCCTTGAGCTCTCCCACTTTGGCTTTCTGGGTGAGGAAAGCTTCCAGCCGCTTCTTCTGCTGCTCATCCAGCTCCAGCTCCTCCAGCTTCTTCTGCAGGTCCACCAGGTTCGCCCTGAGGAGGAGAAGGAGGGAGCACGCTCAGCAACAGGGAAGAGTTTCTTCTTTTTTTTTTTAAGGGAAATGCCTTCAAACCATCCCCTGGCATGTCCTGAGCCCCCTGGCACGTCCTGAGCCCCCTGGCACGTCCTGAGCCCCCTGGCACGTCCTGAGCCCCCTGGCAGAGCAGCAGGGCTAAAGCAAAGCTCCCAGGGAGAGGCTCCAATCCCTGCCCAACACACACACACATCTCCTCTGGAGAGGAGCTTTGGAGCAGTCAGCTGTTCTGGGAGAGCCCAAGGAGTAGGGAAAAAAATCCTTCAATCCTTTAAGAGGCAGCAAAGCAGCCGCTCCCCGTCCCGGGAAGCCGAGCTTGGGTTTCGCTGAGAAACACGAGAAGGGCTTTCCACGGGGTCCAGCAGCACCCCCCCAGCCCCAAACCCCCAGCACAAAGGGGTGGCTGTGCTCCCCCAGCACCTGCTGAGGGCTCCAGCTGCTCTCTCCCAGTTGCTGCCCACCCCCCTTGTCCCCCCCCTCACCCACGGGAGGGTCTCACCCCATCTCTCCCACCCAGTGTGCTCTGATACGAGGCTCTGCTGTCCCCCCCTCCACATGTCCTGTTTGCTGAGCCCCCATTAATGCCCCAAATCCCCCCTCAAACCCCCAGGACCCCATCCCAGCTTCAACTTGTGTCCCCAGGCCTGGTCCCAGCACACCCCAGGCCTGGTTCTCTCTCACACCCCAGGCCTCAGCTGCACCCCA